CTCCCTTTATTTATTTATCAGCACAAACAAACACACACACACACACACACACACACATATATTTTTTTTTTATTTGTGCTGATAAATAAATAAATTATCAGCACAAATAAAAAAAAACACAAATATAACAACGGCAACAGTAAAATATTGGGTTCCTGTCGTGATGGACTCTTGTGACGAGCCGATTATATATAAAAATTTATTTACTGAAAATCTTTTTATCATTTGGTGCTGTTTATTTATTTTAGGCTAGTTTTCAGTCTACAAATATGCATATTTTCAAACATTATACCTTCAGTTCTGTGTATTTAATATGAAACTTAATTTAAAAAAATATTTATCAGTTCTTTAGGGGTATTGGAGGTGGAGGAAGGATGCTTCTTTCCAGGAATGATTTGTCTATTCTCTAGTCAATTTCACAAACCTATAAGGTACCAAATTTTATAGTTTTATTTTCATAATCTTGATTTTCTATGTTCATGTAAGTAAAATACTGTTTCTGCTAGGAGGTCATGCAAAATGTTTTTTTTTTTAAAAGAGGACAGATAAGAATACCTATATTACATTTTTCAAGAGAGGGAGTCAGTTTATTATTGGGCTGTAACAATCATATAGCATTGTCTTTAATTGTCTTGGAAATGAAATATGAAGAAGATGAAGTGCAAATATGAAAGCAAAACTTAAACAACAGTTCTTTCTTAATTGTAGTGCTTGGCCCAATAACTCTTCTGTCATAGCTGTGGATCTCTATAAATTACAAGACTGATTCCCCATTGTATAACAAAAGCAGCCCCAAATATATTTCCCTTCCAAAGTGATGCTACTAAAATAAAAGCAAGAGTGGTGGATCTAAGAAATTCTTGGTTCTAATGATATGAATAATATTTGGATGGGCTTCCTTTGGGCCACCATTGAGATTAAGCAATGATTTGTTGTAGAAAAGAACTTCATATTTTAAAACTTAAATAACAGAACCAACTAACTATTTGGTATTTGCTAACTATATCCACAATATTGGTGAAAAAGAAAAGAAGGAAGAGTGACACCTGTCACTTTTCAAATGAACTTTAAGACTGTCAAACTCTAGCTGTTCCACAATTCTAGTAAAAATAAAACAGGTATTACATGTTTGAAGTCTATATTCAGTTGACAATGAGCTGGTAGGCTATAAGACATATGTGACCTGAAAGCTTCTGGTTTTTTATATAATCATAATTTATAAGGTAATTGTACTGAAGAACTTGGCTTTTGAGCCATCAAGCCTAAAAATAGTTTCCTGGATAAAATTAGCTAAAAATTGGGATTAAATCAAAAATTGTAAAAGACATTAATATTCTTGATGCTAATGTACTGGATGAAAAAATGCTACTGTTGAATGAATCTATCTAGGCTATGTTAAAAAGTTTCTTTTAGAAGATATTTGAAGATTGCAGATTTTTATTGGGGGAGGGGTGCCAATAAAAAACAACTTGTTAATAATTCTGCTGTTTGTTTTCAGTTGGCTTCCCTGCTCTATCTGAGGTATTTGGGATTTGTTGATTGTTTCAACCTAAATGATAAACTTCCATGCATGCACAATTTTTACCTGAAATTGACAGCCAGCTGAAATGAAATAGTTTATCCCAATCTAGAACTGACTTTTATACAAACTGATTTCTATATTAAATCCACAACAGAAAGATATTGCTCAAGTCTACTGACCTTATTAAAGTGCCTCAATCATCTGTAATGATTGCACCTGTCAGCCATAACTACGATGAAATCCAGTAGGTAAAAACCATAAAACCAAACTTTTAAATCCTGAGAAAATAAGCGCTATTTTTTCTCTTCCCCAAACAACAACTATGGCACTGGCATGCCACCCATCTAGAGAGGAAATTCATTAAGAATGAAGTTAGCTTCTTTCAAGAATCTCGGTTTACTGGATGAGAGTTATCATCTAGAGGAATTTAGCTTTTGAAAATCTGATTGACAAAACTAGTTAAGAATCTGCTGCACAACTGAAAAATCAGCCCCATTCAGCTGCGAGCCGCCGTCGCACAGGCTTTGGGGTTGATTGGGGCTATCTCAATACTCATAACCGTCACTTTATGAATATATCTCGGAAAAGCATATACCCAATCAAGAGCAACACATAGTAACACAGCCTAAATAAGCATTATTTAAGGGTGAGCCATTATTTCGTCTTTGGATATGTGTTGGAAACGATGCATCGATATCTGGAAAAGAGACTGGGTCCAACATCGGCGCCCCAACGTGCTATCTCCCCACCCCCGCACACCTTCCGCTCATCCGCCGAATCCCCCTTCAATTTGCCGCTCGGTTGGTTTGCCCGGCAGCCTCAGCCGCCGCAGGTGCGATACGCAGCTCCTTCAGAGGAGAGTCTCCCCTCGGTCAAGGCAGAACGCGTTACGAAGCTGCCGCCTCCCCGAGAGTCCCTTTCCCCAAAGCTCCCGCCTGTTCCCTCCCCATAGGCTGATCTCGGAGTGCGGCAATTTACCCGAAGTGAGGAGACGGCGGCGGTCGCCAGCTGCCGAGTCGCCTTGGAAAGAAACGCTGCCGGCGCTTCAGGAGACCGTTTCCGACAACTGCCCTGGGCAGCGACTTCCTGGTTTAGGCGCGGCACAGGGCGAGGATAGCCGAACGGGGAACCTGTCTGGCTCGTTCAAGGCTCTCTCTCTCCGGGGGCAAGAAAAGGGCGTAGCTGGAAGAGAGGTGGCAAATGTCAGATCTGGAGGGAGGGCCGAACCGGTCTTTCTTTCTTAATGAACTAATTATTCTACCTTAGCCTGAAGCTGTAAACAGAGCAGGTAGTTCCCAACTTACGACCACAATTGAGCCCAAAACTTCTGTTGCTGAGACATTTGATAAATGGATTTTGCCCCATTCTACGACCTTTTATGCCACAGTTGTTAAGTGAATCATTGCAGTTAAGTTAGCAACACAGTTCTTAAGTGAATCTGGCTTTCCCATTGTCTTTGCTTGTTAGGTCACAAAAAAGACTGTTTATAGCAGATCAAAATCCAAGAAGGATAATTTGCCTCTAAAGGAAAAACTGATGGAATAAAGGAGAGGCTTAAATATCTCACTGCACATTTCTTATCAGCTAAAATAGCAACTTTATCTAGAATGTTTTCTCTGATAATTTTAGCTTGTTAGTAATAAAAAAATAGTGCTTCCAGAACAAAAACTTGTAGCATCCATTTTGCCCATTGCCCTGCCTGAGACTATATCGGCACTTATAATTCATTGGGCTTCATTTTCCATACAAAATATATGGGATACAAAGGCTTGTAATGAAGCCCAGATGGATCTGATAAAATATTTCATTTCATAAGTTGTAAATATTTCTGTAGTGCATAAATGTATAAGCAGAAAATAAAGCCTTATACCAAAAGAGTAAATTATATATTTATCCAGAAATTAAATTTTTGGCTGAATGCATTAATTAAATATGCAAATAAAAGTTAGTGTAAAGCCCTGGAGGTATATCAGTAGGTTGTCCAATTGATTACAATTGATTAGGTTTCGTAGCAATTTGAATTAACTGGGAGATGGTGAATTCCACCTTAGCACAAAGCCAGCTGGATGATCTTGGGCCAATCACACCCTTAACCCTGAAAAGGCAGTAATGGTGTTGAAAGAAATGTCCTTCTGGGTTCGGCTCCAAGTGGGGATAAAGACACTGGAGACATGGAGGCTGCTTGGAAAGATGGTTTATTGTTGGACAGGGCCACATGGCTTGAGCCCTGAACAGAAAAGGTGATCACATGCTTCAGTGTTGATGGAGAAGAAGAGAGAAGGGCTGAGGAAGGGGTTTGCTAGGCTTTTTATACCCTGTTTAGTCCCACCTCTCTGTTTCCTGTTCCTGTGTAAGAAATGTATTCTGATTGGTTGTCAGACTCCCATGGTGCCATGCAGGGGGATACTCTCTAGGCTGTTTTTTTGAATCCAAGTGTGGATGAGCTCTCAGATGCCATGTGCTCAGCTGTGTAAAGTTCCAATATTATCATGCCTTTCTGTAGCTGCTGCTGAAGTCTTTATTATGTAAAGTGGGCTAGCTCAGGCTTTAATGGCTCATTGACAAAGTGGGATGGGCAGGAAGCTACAGGAAGCTATTCTGTCTTTTAAAACATGTTTCTTCCTTTTTCACATCCAGAGAAATATTCTGCCTTTTCAATACTTCCTAGGATATTTCATTTTTCTGGGAGAGGGCTGGATGATAACTTCCCACAATGGCAAACCATTTCTGAATAATATTGCCAAGGAAAACTAATGGCACTAGTACAGGCAGTAGCCAGGAGTAAATGCTGACTCAAAGGCACAAACGCACCAGAATAAACAAACAATTCACTGGCAGAAGTGCTGAATTTAATTTTTAAAGGTTACCACCCCATGCATATTTGTTGGAAATTAAGTATATCTGGATATATAGAAGGACTAGCTGGATATCCATGCTTCACAATGAAACTACGTGATCAGGCAGTGCAGGAGAAATCCAGTTAATTCCAGTTCAATCTGTTGGCTAAGTGGTGATGATGATTGAAACACATAAGGGAATATTGCTCCCACTGCCTTGAGTATGGAAGCAGTTCCATAAGTGGAAGGTGTAGACATTTTGGTGAGGTACTGATGTTTAGTACTGTAAGGAGCCCCAGACCACTCCTGAGTGAAGGAGTAGAATGCAGGCCAGTTTGAAATGAGGTAACAGAATGTGAGGCAACTGGCAGTTGGAACAGAGTTCTTTTCAGGTGGGGAGGGGGAGTAGAACTCCTTAGTATCAGTGTGTTAATTACTTTAAAGAAATACTAATGATCTGATGGTCTTTTCCAAAAAAACCTTTCTTTGCGAGCACCTAGAAACCAAGAGGAACACATGTGTTGAATTTCAAGTGTGTAGTCTTTACAGTTCTGGAGATTTCGTGATGAGTGAATGGTATTTGGCTTTCATATATATAGATTTAATACTAAACAACTTATACACATTTGCACAATCTTATGCATGTCTTGGAGTAGGCATAAAGATACAGTATTTCAGCCATTAAAAAGAAAGAACTGGCTCTTAGAGAATCAGAAGTGGTAAAATTGCACTTTTATCCAGGACTGCAGTCAATCATGCCCTTCCCAGGTTATATGCTATTAATTTTCTTCCCTCCTCTTTTTCTTCCCTACCTCCAGTCAGTTAATTTTCCATGCTGATTTGATTTGGAGAGAGGTCTCCTCAAATGGCTTTTTAAAAGCACTGCTATTTATATTTCTACTAAATTTCGGGAACTCCAAGCCTACTGTTAATTTGTTATTGTGCATGGATGTGGCATTTCATTTATATCCGGGTTTACACAGAAATCACTATACAAATGAACTCTGATGATTTAGTTTATCTAATTAAAATACCTCCTTTGCTCCAGGGAGCAATTTTCTTCTGGGATCAAGCTACGGTAGTTACCTAGAACTGGAGGAAAGTAAAGAGAAAAAGAAAATAGTACCTCCTCTTTTGCCTATTCTTGTTTTGTTTTGCAAAACAGGAAAACCATAACCATAAGAAATAAATGCTCATTTTGATAAGTGGATAACATTACAAAATATTGCATTTCCTCTACAAGAACATATTTAAGCTGTTTTATTGGGTTTTTAAACTATGTATTTTAAAAAAACAAATTCAGTAACTTCAAGACATGAAAGGGAAAAACAGATCAAAAATATTCTTTCAACATACATACTGAATGCCTGATGAACAAAAAGGTTTTCAAAAATGTATTTTAATTAGTCTACTACTCTACATTAGCTCCTATGAATGTGTTATTATTTCAGTACTTTGAGATTACTCTCAATCTCATAGTTTATCCTGAAAATAAAAATAACTAAATATATATTTGGAAGAATGCATTTTGCAGATTTCCATGAAGTTCTATAGTTTGCTGTCCCCATTCCCCTGCCCCCTCCACCTCCAAGAAATGCTGTTTTATCAGTTAGATTCTTAGAAAAGATACCTCTGGCCTCAATTCCCATTGGTAGCATGACTCTGAGTGGATGTCTATTCAAAGAATATAGTGAGAAAAATATCTCCTCAGCTACACAAATTAGGTTAATAAGTGAAGGAAGGCCATTGTTATTAACACTAGTGCTATCTAGATTTTCTGATTTTGTGTATGTATGACCTCACAATTTACAGTTCTGTTGTATCTGTTGCTTAGTTTACTCTAGCACTTCATTCGTCTAATGAAGTTGAATGTCACACTGAAACATGCCAAATAAATTAATCTAGACAATAAACTTCTATTAGAGGGACACATATCAGTACTGACATCCACCTAAAGAAAAATGTGTGTCCACTTGTTTCTCCAAATAGAAATAATTATGCACTGGTACTTTATATTTCATTGGCTAAAACAGCCAAAACTGTAAACTTGCATTGTCATTTCTTGGGCAAATATATGACTAGATATATTTGTGATAAATTACATGGTCTTTGCTGATGCTACAGTCTTTGGTGGCAGTCAGTGCAATCAATGCACATCATGGGATGATGCAAAATTTCCTAGGCAAATAGCATGATTTGCAGAAGGCAGTATTTTTCCATGCAAACCAAAAATTACCACATGCAAAATTGTCTTCTGAAAAAACAGAATCTACCAACTTCTTGTTCTTGGAAACAAGGAATGGGGGGACTGCTCTGAACTTCCCAATGTGAAGCTCATGATAATTTAGGAAATTGAGGGGCAGAGAGTAGACACACTGTAAAGTATTAATAATGAGATAGAAAGTAAGCCTGTGATAAATAATGGTTAGGGGAAAATAATTTACAGTATGTTATATGCTGAAATATTTATTGAATTGTTATCTATGACATGATTTGGGCTGAATTAATCAGTTCACAGAGATACTTTATCGGTACAGTCAACTTTTCCTTGATCTTTGTCTACCAATTTTGGTAAAAAGGGAAGGGGGAAAGGGAAAACACAAAAAAGACAAGTTTGATTTAATATATTGAAAGAAATACTGATATGTATGTTCACATTTAAAGGCCCCTGTGTTAAAAGTGGAAGAAAATTTGTAGGCAATGTTTCCCATTTGTTCCTCAATATTCTATAGAGATGATATCAATCCACAAGTTTTTTAAATTTACTATATTTCAGATTCTATAGCTATTGTTTGTATTCTGCAAATCAGCTTTGGGTTAATCATTCCTACTCAGCCCAACCCACATTATAGCGTTGTGGTGTGGAAAATAGGAGTTGGGAGCATTAGGTGTGTTCATTGTGTTGAATTGACAAAAAATAAAGGCAGGGTAAGTCAAATACATAAAATAATCTGTCCCTTAAGAAAAACAAACCACATTTTTTTTAGTTAGCTAAGAAAAACAAAACCTAGTCTCAAACCATGTTTTCTTCTATTTGGTTGTCACAACAAACTAAATTAAATTAAACAAATTTTAATATGTATAACTATACTCTGTGTGCATGTGAATTATATTGGTGAAAGTAATATAGGCAAAGCAAACAGCATTTATTAAGCGGGAGGTTCAAAGGTTTTTATACAGTACAGAAACATATGTAGGAAGCCTCCACTCGAGAGAATGAAATATTAAGAGACAAAATATTATATTTCCCCAAAGGAGAAATGGAGAAACATGTTCTTAGAGGCAGAAAGCAACCTCAGCCTTTCTTAATGTGTCTATTCACAATCAAAACACCTCCAGCAATGGGATTAAAATTTACATCCTTCTCCACCCAAACTCTAAGAACAGAACATGACCTTTAGGACATAATAGGATTAACCCATCACCATTAGAATAGCAAAAGTCACAGAGTTCACTACATTGCACAATGATTACATGTAAGACTTCAACAATAGAAAACATTGATTCTAGATAACATTTCGCAAGTAGCCAATTAGTAGGTTACATTACTCTTTCCCAGCTGGGTTTGTATCTTTCTTAAAACTTGCAAGTGTATTCAGGAACTTTCAAAATATGGTCTCTATTGTGTAGTGCCAAAAAGACAAGTTCTTTCATACGAAAAGAATGGCCTTGGCTAAGAAAGAAATGTTTTCCTGAAGTTAAAAATAGACCTAGACTACCATATTAAAATGTTAACAATGAAGCTTAACTTTTCAGATAATACAGAACGAGAGGGGGAAAATAGAATTCAGTGTAAAAATATTCACATTAAGGTAATTGCAGCATCATGAAAGTATGCACATTCATTTTGAATATATCTTTTTAACTCAGTGGGACTTAAACCATAAGACTATGATATGAAACAGAACTGGAAATTAGGCTAGATTTTAGCCTCTACTTCTTGTGGCTTAGATAAACCACTCTTAGCATGTATTGTGCTATGCTATAATTTGGTTAAGCATACTTAGCTGATTCAGTTACTATTCCATAAATTACAAGTCAAAATTGTCAGTTTACTCACTACATTAAGATAAGCACATGCCATTATGGCTTAATATAATGAATGATAGAGACATTTACCACTATGACAATTTTACCTTAATTGCTGTTAGAAGGACTACAATTAGAAAATATACATGAAATGCTTTTATTGGAATTTTTAAAGTATTAATTCAGGCGAAAGAGTCAATATGGGACAATGATAAGCTTGTAAGCCTGTGAGTCTGTACTCAGTTGTTTAAATGATTCCGAGGCAGAAATCTTAAATACAGCAAGAAAAGGAAATAAGACTTGTTTACACAGCGACCAGGATGTGGTCTCTTGAGTAAAAACTTTGGGCTGAGTAAAAACTTTAGGGATTACACTGAAATTTCAGCTGTACATAGCTATTGCCCTTAGTGGCGTGGTATCGAAGACTCCTCGCTTTCTGACTGAATTACAGAGGAATTGCAATGAGGTGCTCCCAGCCATTCACAGGAACAAACCTGTGCTAAACGATTTGACAACGCTTAGCTGTAATTTGCGTTGACAAACTTCTTCCTGCTGTCTATCAGACAACAGCGTAACTGACACAGAAAAGGAAGCGGGATGGTTGGAGAGGGGGGGGAAACGTCACCGCCCAGGTTGCCACGGCGACTCTACTCCAGTGTTTCCGCCTCCTTAGACGCCGGGAAGGGGGCGTGTTCGCTGGAACGCCGTTTCCATGGTGATACAACTGGCTGCAGCATGTCGGATCTTGGCTCAGAAGAGATCGAAGAGGAGGCAGAGAATGATTTAGGGGTCAGTGGAGAATGGGGATGGGACGGGGGAGAGATAGATCAAGAGAAGAGGCTGGCTATAAATGACAACGGGGTACAGGAGTACTGACTGAGTCAGGAGTTGTAAACGCGAGGCTCTCCCTTGGGAACTGCTTCTCTGAGTAAAGCCCACATGGCTGGACATCTTTTCAGCAATATTATTCAGGATGAATGTTTTGCTACTAGATTCGTGCTTATTTTTATGACAGGAACGTTTGGAAGAAACAAACACAAGTCATCATAAATCATGAATTGAGCTTATTATAAACCAATGCAGAAACAATTAAAACTCAGAACATTGGGGTGGCAACAAGTCGCCAAAATATTATATTAAACCACAAATTATTTAAAAGGTGCTATTAAAATAAAAGGAACAAGCTGGTTATTTTTTCTTTTTTTAAAAGATTCAAACAAGAAAGCAGATATGTACACATTGCTTTTAAATGGGAAGGAGAACTATTCTACTTGCAGAACACATTAACTGCATGTTTAAAAGTCTTAGGTTAGAACAGAACAGAGACTAGACTAGAAAATAGACTAGAGAGTTGGAAGGAACTTTGGAGGTCTTCTAGTCCAACCCCCTGCTCAGGCAGGAAACCCTATACCATGACAGACAAATAGTTGTCCAATCTCTTAAAAACTTCAGTGTTGGAGCATTTACAACTTCTGGAGGCAAATTGTTCAACTGATTAATTGTTCTAACTGTTCAGTTCCTAGCATTAGGAACAATTTCTATTTGAAACCCTGGAAATTTCCAGAGGAATAATAGTGTTTTTGGCAACAAGATCTTGCAAGATCTTAAAAATACCAACATTGTTTCAGGGTAATAATAGTGTAGTACTGAACATTATAGTCTAATAACAATGTAGTATTGAACCAGTGGTCTGAATCATGATAAAGTAACTTTGTGTATTCCTATGAAACATTTTAATTCTCTAAGTATATTAATATTTAGTATGTGTATCAAGAATAGCTAAGTAATGATTTGGGGGATCCTATAGTAGCTAGAATATTGGACTGAGATCAAGGAGATGCAAATCTCCATTTGATAATGAAGCTCATTGGACGACTGCTCAAATCAGTATCTCTCTGCTCCTTCTGTCTGCAAGGTAGTTCCTATCTGATAACATGAAGCAAGGCCTTCATGGTTGAGCATCTGAACAGCAGCGTAGAATGTCATACAGTATGGTCATTATTGTTACTTAACTAGGAATATGAAGGTGGACGCAATGAGGCTGGTGAACGGCATGGACATGGGAAAGCCAGATTACCTAATGGAGATACCTATGAGGGAGAATATGCAAATGGTAAAAGAAATGGAAAGGTAAGATTTAGTTAGAAATAATTTATTCATTATATACACTAATGAAAAAAACACTGCATTTTCTTAGCTTTAACAGGAGATAAAGATCAATAACTTCAGGGAAACTCACAGTTTGCTTGTTTATTATTTATTTATTTACTTGATGGTAGTCAAGGGTAGTCACATGACTGAAGCTCTGCCCTTTTGTGCATTAGATGTTGATGCATGTATAAAACTTTGATCACACTGTCATGTCTATCATCTTGGAGGTGTTTTTTTTTTACTCCCCCTGTAGATAACAGAATTGGAAGTAACTTTGCAGATCTTCCAAGTCCAACCCCTCTAACCTAGCAGGAAACTATATAGCATTTCAGACAAATGGTTGTCCAAGATCCTATAGATAGAAGAATCCCAAAATCAAGTAAGATCTGAGCATGCTCAATAAGCTTAGAATACAACTGAAACCCCAAAAAGAGATGGAATACAATGACATGACTGGGGCAGACTATTGTATAATATTTTACTGTATGTCACTTGTTTTGTATTGGGTCATTTCCCAAGTATAAGCATTGCAATAAAGCATTTCTGTAATGTATATGTTTCAGGGGCTATACAGATTTAAAAATGGTGCAAGGTACATTGGAGAATACCTTGAAAATAAAAAACATGGCAATGGAACATTTATTTATCCAGATGGATCTAAATATGAAGGTACTTATATTTTCTTCATTCAAATAGTGCCACATCATAGACAGAAAATTATTGAAGATGTTGGTAGCTAATAATGTTGTTAAATCAAAGGAAATTTATCTAAGTATAATTAATATGCATGTGAAAATAAGATTTCTTTATTATTTATTATTCCCTAAAGCCACAATATATTTTGATTACAATTTGCGAACAATGTGATAAAAGGGTGGGAAAGGGGTCATTAATGTTCTAGAACAATAGACAATTTTCTTCTCTAAATTATAACAATTTTTATAGTTACAAAAAATAACTGCAACTTAAATGATTTGTGCTTATTTCTAATACATAAACGTTTATGTACAGACATTTGTTTACAAAGGTTTTTTTATAATTTCTTAATTCTTTTACTCCCTCGCTCATACAGGTGTTTCTTATGTCAATTTTGATATTCCCATTGCTTCAGTAGTTTCTCTTTTTGACTTGCTTTTAAACTAGAGAATAGAAAGTTGAGAAAATAACTCTTTCCCCATTTTAGAATTAGGATTAAAACTCAATGACATTCGCCAGTATTGGACCACATCAGCAACATTTTCTCTCACCAGCATAAGGTTTCCTCTATACATGATGAAGGACATCGTATGCACCGTAACATATGTGAGGTGTATTCTTCTCCACATTCACACAGAGTATCTTCTAAAGGGAAGACCCATTTTCTTAGACTGCTTATCAATTTCCTTATGTAATTCTCTGAGAGACAGCCACAGTACTAAAATAAGAATCTAGGAAGCATTTTAAAAATATTTTTTTAATAAAAAAGAGCCAAATTACAGATGATAATCATCATGTGTTCTGCTCTTAAATGTAAGATATTTTAGAAACAGTTACTCTGGGTATCCCAGTCCATATTCTGATCTCAACAATAGAGTTGAGCGACAGGGCTTTAGTGGTTTATGAATAGTATTGTTTTAAAAAATAGTATTTTTTTGCTTTAATAGTAAATATATATTAGGCCTCCGCAGATTAGGGCCACTCCTCTCTTACCAGCTGCATATCAACATGATTTAATAACAAATTGTTATTAATAATAATTTAATAACAAATTACTTAGAAACTAATCATTATTTTTTGTTTTGTTTTAAATGGTTTAACTAGCAGTTTGGGTATCGGATGTCTCAGAAATTGAAAATCCTGTTGGTCAAAACAATGTTATTAAAAAGATGTTGTCACTGAGTTACATCTGATAGATGAAATTTGTCTCTTAGTGTAGTGTATGTTAAAAAATCATCCATGCCATCTATTGATCCAAAATCGATATCCTCACTTTCATCCATTTTTTTCCATATTACCATCTTTCCCCCAATTTTTAATGTTAGGTTGCTCCATGAAGTCAATTTAGCATATAAAAAGGATCACATCTTTTAAAAAAGATATTACATTCCATAGCTTTCTAACTGATAAATTGTAGCCAGAGGAACTAGAGTTCCACTGTATTCAGAGTCTAGAATGTAACCTTACACTAAGATAGAGTTTTCTCATCTGGTTGTGCTCCCTATCTGGTGTGCCTCACAAGAATCTCATCAATCTTGTAAATCTGGAAGTACATTTTTCCCTGTCCCTTTTACAGCCCAAGAAACTAGGGAGGGTCCCTTTCTGAACCTCTGACCCCACTCAGATTTCTGCTGCAGGCTAAGTTGTCTTTTATCTGACTGTTCCCTTAGCCTCATCACTTTCTTCCTGTATCTTACATACCATTACAACTTCTGAGGTTGATAAGAGCCACTTTATGGAGGAGATGGCAAGACAAGAAGTTTGATAAACAAACAAATAAATAATACTCTGATTGCCATTACTTTCCTAAGGATTCTTTTAGTTCAGTGTGACCTTGTTCTCAATCATGATAATAAAATTTGGATTGTTTTTATTACTGCATAAATTCTGTGTTCATTTCTTTAAAGTAATATAAACATTCAAATTAAAGAGTAAACACTATGGTTTATAAAGCCTATTCATTGCAGGAGACTGGGTGGAGGACCAAAGACATGGAAATGGAGTTTACTCTTATATAAATGGAGACACATACACTGGAGAATGGTTCAATAATTACAGGTTTGCTTCTTCTAGTTTCACATTTCTGTTTTACTTCTTAAAAATAACAAGTGTAGTTCTGTGTTCTCCTTCAGAAATGTTAAGCTACAGTTTCTTTCATCTTTTGAGAATATGTCTGTATAATTATTTTGTCTATTGTGAGACTAATAGACTGTAGATGAAAATGTTCTCAGTGATTTTCCAACTAGTATGGGTCGTGCATTTTCTACAGCCCTAATAATGTAATTTAATAGAGGGACCATTGACATTCATTGGTTTTTTCCTGAGCAACTGATCTCATTTAACAACAACAAAAAGTCTTAATAATAACAGAAACATTTATTATTAGTTATCTTCTTTTCTTTTACTATCTACTATTGTCAAAAATGATTAGATTTGATTATAGTTATAGTTTGTACTATTTTACACCATTAGCCATCCAGAGAACAATGTTATTGGACAGCCATATAAATATAGTAAAGAAAGGAAGACTGTTTTTAACTGAAAATCAATATACATTACATGTTGCAGCAACCCAGTGATTTGCATTCATATTGGAAATAAATATATCTATATAACACATGCAGATTTCAATGCAGGTAATTTAATTTAAATCAATGATTAAAATCAGATTTTTTCTAACATTTAATTAGAGATCGTCCTCAACTTACAATCACAATTTAGTCCAACATGTATGTTGCTAAGTGAGAAGTTTGTTAAGTGAATTTTGTCCCATTTTATGATTTTTCTTGGCACATTTGTTAACTGAATCGCTGCAGTTTTTAAATTAGTAACATGGTTGTTAAATGAATCTGGCTTCCTCATTTACTTTGCTTGTCAGAAGGTTTCAAAAATTGATCATGTGACCCAGGGACATTGCAACTGTCATGAGTTAGTTGCCAAGCATCTGAATTTTGATAATGTGACCGTGGGAATGCTGCAACAGTCATATGTGTGAAAAAAGGTCATAAGTCACTTTTTCAATGCCATTATAACTTCAAATGGTCACTAAGTGAACTATTTTAAATCGAGGACTACCTGTATTTAATTTGCCTTGATTTAAATTAATTGATTCCTTGACAACCTGAAGAAGATTGCATGCAGGATTAAGAATAAGAATTTCTTCTGTCTTAATATGTAACAACTCTTTTCCCCCCCTCTCCTATAGACATGGGCAAGGTACTTATTTATATGCATTAACTGGTTCTAAATATGTTGGCACTTGGGCAAATGGACAACAAGAAGGAGCTGCTGAACTTGTTCATCTAAACCACAGGTTCCAGGGAAAGTTTGTGAATAAAAATGTATGTATGTAAGAAATTATATTACTTTCTGAAAAAATGTACATTAGGCATAGAAAATAAAAGACTTTCAGCTTCTTTTGTATCTCACCCAATTTCAGTAACGATAGTACTAGTATCCAGAAGCTCATTTTGTACAAAAGACTCCAGTGTTTGCATAGTCGTTTAGATGAACAAGTATTTTTCAATCACTATTTTGAGGGAGCTTTAGAGAGATTTTGATTAGCAAGAACATATTTGTTTTATTTGCATACAGATTTCATAATGGCTGAAGTAAAAGTAACTAAGAATCCAGACCATATTAAAAAACACATTTATTGTTGCATAAGGTTTGGGGCTTCAATTTAGAAGAGGCATGATATATAAATGAGCACGTAGAAAAATGTATAAATTAAGTTAAATGAAAATGAAAGTAGGTTTCATGAACAATATGGTAGTCACAATCTTCAAGTCAGGAGCAAAAGAACTTGAAAGATTGAAGTGTTTTCTTGCTGATTTCTGAATATACTCCTTTCTAAAAAAAAAAGGCTTTAGAAACTAATCTTTCTTCTTATACAACTTTGAAGATGATAGATGCCATGTATGGCCAGCGTAATTGTGGAAATATTTTGTGTTTTTAGAATATGAAACTGTCAAAATATTACTAATATACATTCTTATGCTTATACAGCCACTAGGTATTGGGAAGTATATATTTGATATTGGATGTGAGCAACATGGTGAATATTGTCAGGAGGTATGTGCTATTGGATTATGTTAATCATATTAACAACCAGAATGCTCAGAATTATACTTTTGTTTTTACTTTATTTAATTCTGTCATAGTTAAATAATAAAGTAATTACTGTTGTAACAAACGGTATATTTTAATTTACATGTACTATATTTTCAGAGTATAAGATGCTCCGAAGTATAAGTCGCACCTAGCTTTTGGAGAGGAAAACAAGAGAAAAAAATCTGGCTCTGCCTCCCAGCAATTTGCCTCCTTGCCCCAAACAGCAAACAGTACAGAAGATATACACTGTTTGTGATGTTACATTTCAGACTATACTTGTACAGCTTTCTGGAAGTATACATTATTCTCTGCTATTTAAAAGAAGATACAATAGCACTGGGTCTATTCAGATCAAGCATTTATTTTAAAAAGCTTCTTCATTTTGTTAAGTTGTCTTTAAAAAATAAGTCTAATAATTTGAACATTCTATAGGCATTTATAGTTATTGACTTATCTCCTTGCAGCAAACAGCAAGTTTCACTTTCATTTAAGCACGGGGCTCCCGATGATCAGGTGTTTCAGGCTGCAGGGATTGCCATAGCCTATTGCTACCTCCGCAAGCTCCATTTTCTCCATTTGCTGCAAGGAGGTAAATTGCTGGGAGGTAGAGGCCAAAGGGTGGGGGCCAATGGGTAGGCGGGGCTACATTTGGTGTATAAGATGCACACAAATTTTCACCCGGTACTTTTTAAAACAAGGCAAGATTTTTGAGAGCTAACGATGCTAAGATCACTTCAACCATTTGGCTGGCTTTTTTCTAGAAGAGAAAGTGATTTTGGTTTTCCTTCCCTTCCCCGCCTTTCTTTTGTAGCAAGACTTGCCTTGAATCAACAGTGACCTTGGACAAATAGGGTGGAAGGCAGTTCTGTACAATATTCACTTTTCCCTAACTTTGCAAGGTCAGTGGAATCACCTAGTGCAGGGGTGTCAAACTCGCTATGACACAAGATGTATCGCAACTTTTTTCCCCTTCGCTAAACCAGGGGTGGACGTGGCCAGCATGCGATGCATCCGGCCCATGGGTCGCGAATTTGATACCCCTGACTTAGTAGTGGTTGCATTAATTGTAATTATATTATAATTAATTTATAATTAATTAAATTATAATTAATTAAAGCAAGATTTTAAGAACGTTCCTGTTGCCACCCGATGCATCGAGAGTTTGCCCAAATCAAAAGTAACAGTTTTACAATTTTGTGTAGTTATTGAAAATAGACTGTATGCAAAAAGGCAATCCTATCTTTATTCAATATAGGGCTCCTATATGCACAAAGGAATTAACATCAGCATTTTCATTCCTCCTCCTCCCCACTTTCTTTGTTGTCTTGATTCCATACAGAATTCATTTACTCAATTTCTCAATTCTCTTACCTTCAGTGCAAATCTGAACAAGTTACGGCATTCAATATTTGCTGTAAAAATCCATGCAAAAAGTTATTTTGTGGAACTGATGGCAAAGAATTGCCTTATGTTCAAAGCAATGAGATGCTACTAGCCACTGACATGACATATCACAAAATATGTGAGACCAGATGTCTTGCTTTGTACATACTCAAATTTGATGTTTTACTGTTTTTATTTTATTGTTAAGATTTTAATTATAACATGTGTTTTAAATTGTGAGCTGCCTAGAGTTGTTTGCTGAGATGGGCAGCTATAGAAATTAATTAATCAATCAATCAAATAAATAAATATAAAGCAAGCATATCTAGTTTTCAGACACACATGATCGTTATACACCTTATCCTTTTGAACTTTTAAACTTTTGCATAATAAAAATAACATTTCATTTCATTCTTTTTGTAATTTGCTTAGCTCATGCAGTACCATGCAAACAAAGGAAAGAGAAGGAGTAACAAAGAAATGCCTTCTACTCAGAATTATGAGAAACAATTAGCTATTGAAACCTCTGCCTTTTCAAAAGAGGTGCCATTTGGCTTTGAAATAGAATGATTCTGCATGATTTGCTTGCATGTGACTTAAGTTAGAAGGAAATGTTGGTTAAAAAAATCTTTTGGTGTATTAATTGGCATTATAACCACAAACAGTTATTTTAACAATTTTTTGCTTGTTTGCTTGCTTTTGTTTTAATATGATGGTTCATTTTTATTTATAGCAGAATATTTTTGCAATTTATGTTGGTAGTTCCCAGGACTTCCAGAGTGTTGAGTGAAACACAGTGATGGATTAAGGTGAATTTTAGGGACCGTGCAAGAGAAGTGTGATGTTGTTGTACAGAAAGACAAATCAATGGCAGATGGGACAGCCAATAGGTTTCTTAAAAGAAATTTCATGAAATACTGCATGACAAATATATCGAGCAGCACTTAAATATTTAAGAGATGGCATTTGTGTCACAGGACACTCTTTGTCATGTGACCCTCTTTTAATTCTCCATGCACCTAGCTGTTTCAAGGGGAAATATTCTTGAACCTTTTAAAAATATAAGAAAATGCCAGGATTCAGTCGTTACCTTTTTGTTGCTGTTGTTGAAGCATCTAGTGTGGAGTTTCTTGGTAAATATTTCCAGAATGGAGACTGGATTTTTCAGCATCATTATAAGGATATTGAAATCATAGAAACAATGCACAGATTAAAAAATGGCATCTGATTAATTAGACTTAACATAACGTAGCAAAGTAAAACAAATATTTCAAACCAATTAGTCGAAGCAAGAACTGTCACTAAATAGAAGTGACAAGGTCATAAATATAGGTTTAGACAAAACTCTCCCAGCAAATAGCTCCAATGTTTAAATGTAGAATATTTTTGGGTCAAACACAAACCAGGAATTGGTGGTATAAAGAAAATAGTCGTTTGAAGACTCCTAACAATGAAGCAGTGAAGAGGATGGTGCTTCTGGTACATCCAAAACTGTTTGTGACATTTTTTTTTGTTCTGCATTTTGTGTTATGATCAAAAATTGACCAGCAGATAGTGTACCCTTTGTAATATGCTTCTTACCAATAATTACCTAACCAATAATTAAGATGTAACATTCTGAAAACCTATCTGAGGGTTTTAGACAATTTTAAACAGTACCCTTTTCAGTAGCAGCTCCGACCCTCTGGAACGATCTCCCCGTGGAGATTCGTACCCTCACCACCCTTCAGACCTTCCGCACAGCCCTCAAGATCTGGCTATCCCGTCAGGCCTGGGGGTAAAGAATATAATCCGCCCCCACCCGAATGTTGAATGAATGTTGCTCGATTTTAATTATACATTGTGTCTATATGTTATTGTATGTTTCCCCCTCCCATACAAGTTGTTAGCTGCCCTGAGTCCCCTCAGGGAAAAGGGCGGCCTATAAATAAACTCAACTACTACTACTACCCATGAGGAACATGTTTTATTAATCCAGATTTGGAGAAATATCTGGCTCTGTGCATTGTTGAGAGTTGCTAAAATGCATGAAGTCTGTTATGAATGGGTCTTCATAAACTTTTAAGAAAAGCTTTTATCACAAATAGATTGGACCTTTCCTTTTTCATTTCTATTATTGTCCTGAACATTCATCTTTCTTTAGGAGAAAACAGAAGAAGAGGAGGAGGAGGAAGTTTTGATACCAGTGGCTCCAAAATGGAAAGCAACAAAAATTACCAACCTAACACTATGGGTACCTGAAGAGCCACCTCCTCCAGAAGTAACTCCAGCAGCTGCAGAAGGCCCATCAACTGAGGAACCTGGAGTTCCTGCAGGTTTGTATTTTGTCTTATGAGCAATCCAGAAATCTTTCACTTATTTTAGAGGATGCCAATTTGATAGATCAAAGTTTTGCACACACCCAGAAAAATATATTGTTAGGGAGAATCCAGAGTCATCACTGTCATTGTTTGTATTGCCAGAAATTTGTATTATGTTTAAGGAGTAGTTATTACCAGTTTTTACTAGCATACCAATAATTCTAGATAGGTTAACTGTTTAGCTACAGTTGTAGTCTGCTTACCTTATGTATAGTGTAGATAATTGTAATGTGATCTATATGGAGTTAACCTTATATTTGATATGGAAACTGCCATTGGTGTAGAATGTGAAAGCAAAGTTGCTGATAGGAGACACTATGCATATTTTACCTCTGTTGAAGCAGGTGTACTGGTAGTCAGCCACCAAAGCAAGTACCTCATTTTTTCAGACTATAAGATGCACCGGAGTTTAAGACGCACCAAGATTTTAAGAGGTAAATTAAAAAAAAGGTTTTTGCCCTCCCCGGCCCCCAGGAGCACTCTGCAGGGCTCCCAACCCTCTGCACATCCCCCCCTTTTCTTTTTGCAAAAAACGGGATGTGCAGAGAGTTTGGAAGGCCTGTAGAGTGCTCCTGGGGGCTGGGGAGGGCAAAAATTTATTAATTTATTAATTTATTAATAAGATTTATAGGCTGCCCAATCCCAAAGGTCTCCGGGCATCTTACAAAAAAGGAAAAGGGATAATAAAAAATAAAAAAACCAACAGATTTAAAATCACAACATGCATTCGATCTGATCGGGGCTGGACATCAACAATGAGGTCAACAGCCCCAGGCCTGCCGGAATAGCCAGGTTTTAACAGCTTTTCTGAAGGCC